TGCCAAGGCTGGCATAGTTATATGGCGTTAATCAGTCGCGAGTAGTAGACCAGGCCTTGAAGATAAAAAGGGTGATACTTCCTTGTCATGATGTGACAGGACTGCTTAGTCAGCCTCTTATATCACAGGCGCACGGGTAAATGGAGAGAAACACTATTATTTTGTGAATGGAGTGACCGAGGTAGTTTTGTGGGTTGTCAACCTCTTCCGTCAAGACCTCCAGCAAAATCTCTTTAAAAGCTGGAAGGATCGTCAATCGGGAGTATGTGCCAGAAATTGCAAGACGATCAGGTTACTACTGTCGCATGAAGGACGAGCTTTGCATCCAATAATTTATCTAAGTGTGAGGAGCCGACAGGTATCCTCAACGATTCATGGACCTTCAAAATCTTTGTTGAGGATTATCACGACATAGTGACAGGAGACCCACGACGCAGATACCCCAGTGCGTCATGAGATTGACGAAGACCCATATTTTGGGTCACATGACAATGGCCCCTACCAAACAAAATGTGTGACGTTGCCTATGCTTCAAACGTGTGAATTATAAAGCGGATTGGTGGAAACGGTAATCTTTTGCAGTCGGCGCCGATCTACTGTATCAGAACGGGTAACGGCAAGCGGCTAATTGTATGTGCTTATGATAAGCATAATGTAGCTGCTTCCAGCGCAACCGTCGATTTAAGAAATGATGTACTAACAGCTTGGTTGGATGCACTTGTCCAGTTCTAAGATCAGTTGATATTTGTTTTAAACACCTGCTGAGAGAAGCGCATCACTTTCACTGCGAGGATTGCTCAAGGAAATACTCGTGAGTGGCTGGTTGTATGAAAGGACAAATCTACGAATCAGCGACGCGGAACCTTCGTGTGAATTGCGGTTCCGTCCACAGCGAGTCTATGTTCAAAATATTATAACGACGTATTGGTCCATAGTCGTGCAGATTACGGGTCGTTGGATTAGGAGTGCCACGATAACTCTTGCGATCTGTGCTTAAGAAATACAATTGCCAATATAGATAAGTGTGTTTTTTGGCGCCGAACAAACAAAAAAAATCATTATCTTTACTTTAACAAAAGCATGTTATGTGAAAACATCTGTTAGAGTAGAAGCTATTGTAGATTGATCGGTGACTTTATTCCAAAAGAACTTAAGGAAGTGGCTTGGCTGGCCAACTACCTGCGCAAGTGCAGTGCAATCAGTGCCAACACGACGCGGTCTCTAATCAATCTCTTCAGAAAAATGTGAGATATTGTTGTGATGCGGTGAGATTGGAGGCCTCCATACTGTAAGTAAATCATCCGTGGTCATACCACGTCGTCTGCGACGCTTTGTCGATTTCAATTGGCTGCGCTTTACTGCAAACAGATACCAACGAGCATGAACCCAGAATCGTGTTGAATTTTGGTCAGGTTAAGCCGCCGAAACAAAGTGCCTCGCGAACGACACGGAGCTACCTGCAATGACATATGCTCTTGACAAGATCAGGATGCATCTACTTGGCTTTATTGTGATCACTACAGATCATTTATCGTTTCTCCAGCAATGTCTTCTCTCGTCGAAAGAGTCAAGATTGCTATATTTCGTTGCCAAGCATACCCTCGAGGTATGGTCAAAGCCGGATTAAATTGTTGTGCGTCGCCCGACCATAGATTGTCCCATTCCACCGTGGCACTTGGCGTCGTGATAACTTGCAACGAAGTCCTAATGTTCAGGATAGTAAATGAGTCGCAGGATGACCATTGAATGGCTACCTCGGAAGTAAAAAATACATGCTCCTCGGGGAGCGCTGCGTTTGCCAAGCTTGTTAGGTGGACAAGCTCATACGTGCGCATGAGCGTAATGTATCAACAGTTGAAACCCGTGGTGCATGCGGCGGCAGTGCTGATCAGCTTGCCGATTTCGACAGAGCAACGGCAGTCCGAAAGAATGAGCGTAACTCTCGCTCTTTCAGTAGATGTGTCTGAATTGTGGTCTTTGTGGAGAGCCTGGGCAAGATGGCTCATCTCGCTGCTGTCAGCAAAAATGTAACAGGTTGGGCAATCACCATGCTATTCCTTGACAGTCATTCTGCCGATATGGCATGCCGATACCCATTGCATCGGTTAGAGTGTATCACATTATAGCAAGGTTTCGGCAAAAATCTGGCACTACATTTAACATGTCAATTGCTGATTATCTTCAAACAAATAATCCGACGGATCGCGTGCATGCGACAAAGCACTTGCGGTTAGAATCCGCGATACAGAGGCGTGTTGCTCTCGATCATTGAGTGTGCTTCGAATAGTTTCAGAGCAGGCTATACTGTATTATGTACAAATGATGTTGCAACCACGATTTCTTTTGACGCCGTCGCGAAGTTGCTCTGGTCATAGAAAGAAGGCTGGCAATCGATTTGACATGCCGATATCGACCTCTTTGCACATTCACTGATTCTATCCCGATGCGATTGAGCGTCATACCAAAGATGTGCGACGCTATGACTTAGAGCTAGGATAGGCGAAAGTGGTTGGTGGAACACACTTGAAATCATTTTGGGGTGAAATTTTTTTAACAAGCAACACACGTGTCTACACATAGAGTATCTGCGATCTTTCGACAAAGTCTACATTAGACCAGTCACGATGCTGATTAAGTTATGCATTTAGCAATCCAGAAGTACTGCGAACACATTCTGTGATAGTGGACTTACGAAAGCCATACCACATTCCCGCTTCTGCAAACTAGCTGAATATGGAGAAACTTGTAGCAAGCACGTTTCGAAACACTGGGCAAGAGTCCGAGTGAATCTTATGATCACAATTAAGCAGCCTGAACTTCTCGAGCCAGATCTAGCTCGTTGGTGACGGGCTAGACACTGCTGTGGATTTGTCTGCGGAAAATTGAAGCTTTTTTGCCGTTTGATTTGGGAATGGATCCTTAGAATCCTGCAGCGGGTACACTCAGCGCAATAAGTGTTGTTTCTTATAAGACGACGACGCCACGTACCGACGGGGTGAAGGTGTTGAGAGTAAACTCAGAGAGGTATCGCATCCAAAATTGTCTGGAGATACATCGGCGTCCTCATCGAAATTTCCTACAGACGTATCAGTTACACCTCAGCGTGGCTCGCTGAGTCTTTTTGGCCCACAGGGACAGAAGTATTTTCAGAAGAGCAGGCGTTATGAAGCACGGGGTGGAGTGGAAGTTTTAAGATACAGAGCGGTTATTTTGCGCGATGTTTTAGAAGGCAAAAGAAATGTAAGCCTTGGTGTGGTGCAAATGGCAGTGGAGGGTGTGTCACGGGGTAAGCTTTGCTTTCTTGAGTATGTATACTTTACTTTGCTGGCACAATTGCATCAAATCGATACTGCGCTGTTGTACAAAATATTAATCGCATGTCGGTGTGATTCAAAAGTTCCACGGTATCGATATCTATGACGATGGCGGAATATAGTGAAGCGCATATGTTTGGTTTTAGTACAATTCACGTCTCTGTTCACCGTTTGAAAATTTTTCAATCCTTTGATTGCTGATATACAGTCCCTCAGAAAAGTAGCACATTTTATAAAAATTTGTAGAGTAGTTCTTTATAAAGAAAACCCTCAATATATGTACTTTTAGCACAGGAGAGCAATTTTTTGGTATTTGTTTCCCTAGATATCTTCAATATCGCTCTTGATAGGGTTGTAGGAATTCAATCCCTGTGCATTTGTTACGCGGCTTCTTTTGGTCAATGCTTCCCTCTATGCAAAGCGCACGGAAACTTCGTTACACTATCAAACAGTTCCATTTTATTGGATTGCTATTCCAAATCCGGTACCCTCTTGCTTCTACAGGCACCGCGTGTACTTGCTGTTGGTACACTAGTGGTGGCACAAAGCGCTGAGTCGATCTATCAAGCCGACATTAAGCCCTTCCTAAGTAATCAAGCCCATAAATTGGTTATCGTATTTCAAAAGTGCGTTGTTGTTCATTCGTGAAAACTCCCTTCCGGGCGGCGTTACATCGAGCGATTGCCTCTTCAGATCATTTACGTTACTCAGCATTGGTTCAAACAGCGGTCTCCACCAGTCGGCATGTCACGTTTCAGATATTTAAAGCGCTGTATAGCAACAATCGGTGAGCAAAATTTACACACCAACTGTTACTAAGATCAAATATTGCTGCGCAATTTTAGCATTCTCCTTGTAGTTAGAGGAAGGTTTGCTTTCGACACACAAGTTTTTGTCCGAATGACACATCAACGTATACAAATGCATCAATTAATCAGATTACCACTGATTAGCAACGATCATTCTGCCGTCCGTACCCCACAAATTACCTTGGGCTCACAAATCGAAAACCTCACAATAAAACTCAAATTATTCCCTTGTTATAGTGTGAACGTTCTCCGCTACTTTCCGGATCTTGGAATTTGTACGATCGTTGTCAATACTAAGCTTGAAAGATAAGGTCAGCTTTAACTTTCGATCCGTCTGTACTGTGCAAACAGTACACAAAAAATGCAAACCTTCTTGTTTAATAAAAATATCAAAACAGCCACGCGACAGTTAGTTCGCCCTTGAAGGTGTTGAATGTCATAGCTGCTTATCGCTGCGCCAAGTAATTTTTCGTGATTGAACAATATATATAGATCATGTTTACGAATTTAGTCTAGTGACAAGATAGATAAGTGAATAACACATCAAAAAGGTTTATGTATCTATATGCAGTTCAACAAGAATCAAACACATGAGCTGCCAAAAGCCCGCAATCACATTTTGGGTTCACACTCAAAGTTTATGAATATGATACCATATGAAAACTATCCCATCCTTTATGTGTTCATCACGACAGAACATACGGTGTTTATCATCTCTT